TTATAAGCAAAAATGAATAGTACTTTCTCCTATCATCGTCCAAAATTCATCGCGCGTTCACGATTGTTCAGTAGTGTTTTATTTTTCATTTTTTTTTTACAAATCGGAATGATCTGAAATTTACAGCATTTATTCATAAAAAATAGAAGAATCTTCGAAAATTATAAAAAAAAATATTTTTACATAAAAAAATTGACCAAAATATCCACAAAATATTTCGAGGGTATTTTGGTCAATTTATTTTTTATGGATAATATTTTTTATATTTTTATTATATGCGCTTCATTAAGATGTACATACCCTTTAAATTTTAGGTCACTCCAATTTGTAGAAAAAAAATGAAAAGTAAAACATTATCGGACAATTGTGACGACGTTATGAAATTTGAATGATGATGAAAATAGGCAAAATCACTAGTCATTTTCGCTTATAGACGTTGGAAAATCTTTTCCATATATATATATATAGATAGATAGATGAAATCACCAAAAATTACTTAGATACCGGTCATTGAATTCTAACTCAAGAGTTGGGATGTACTACCTACGTCAACTCCAAAGATAAATTCAAAGCCCATGTTCATCTTCACAAATGACTTGAAAATTACCGCACAAAGGATTTTAACTCAAGAGTTGGGATTTACTCCCTAAGTCAACTCAGAAGACAATAAGCCAAAGCCCATGTTCAAGTTTTAGAACCTCAGCTTAAGCAGCAACTTTGACTCACAAAATTTAGCCTAACCCCCAAACGTTGGTAATTTATATACACGATTTTTTATCATGCAAGCATCAAAAGTTAAAAAATAAAAGAAGATTTTTCCATCTTCATTTACTGCCAAATGATTCATGTTCAATATGAATAAAGGAGCTTAAAAAAAAAATATGCTCTATGTAACACATTCAAAGTTTGAAAATCTAAAACCCCAAAATGTTGGCATTTCATATACAAGATTTCTAATAATGCAAGCATCAAAAGTTAAAAAATAAAGGAAGATTTTTCCATCTTCATTTATTGCAAAATGATTTATGTTCAATATAGATGAAGAAACTTAAAAAATAAAAAGCAATAAAAAAAAAAAATTGCTCTATGCAACACATTCAATGTCTGAAAATCCAAAACCCCAAAATGTTGGCATTTCAAATACACCAACTCACAGGCCGCTTGATCATTGTCAAAAGTGAGCGGATTTGCAAAAACGTTAATGGAGAACTTGAAAAAACTTAACAAGTTTTATAAATTTTTCAAGTGAAGAAATTCTTTTAAAAAATATCTATAATGGTATTCAAACCCATCTCGTCACTTAAGTCATACCACAATCCTACCATAATCAAAGACATTACTTATGTGACAAAATAACATGAAAAAACTGTACGTAAACGAAAACTTGGATGCATCGTCAGATTTTCATTTATCAAACTTATCCACTGAATAAGTAGAGTTGACTAAGGCAAATTCGACCTAAAATGACTTTTATTCATTGGTCTTTTCCATACCTGAATGGAGAAAGCTCGAAATCCTCAGTTGTTAGGAATCTGATCCGCAGTAGAGAGCGAGAGGGATTTTCAGTGCGCTCACAAATTATTTGGGGGTTTCAAGGTTTGTGTGCTTAGAGAGAGAGAGAGAGAGAGGAGGTTTACTTAGAAGGTTCCACATTAGAGAGAGAGAGGACTTTCAACATTACAAGGGGGAGAGCGAGCATACTTAGAGAAGAGAGAGAGAGAGACGCTTACTGGGGGAGAGCGAGTGTGCTTAGAGACTGGGTTTAAATTTCTCCCCACTCACTTTGGGCCGTCCGATTAGATGGGAAAAATCCTCACCATTTGTGCACAAAAACCATATACGCGACATCGCGTACTACATCATTGCCCTCTCTCTCTATATATATATATATAGAGAGAGAGAGGAAATCTTAAAAAATTACTTGATACCGGACATTGAATTCTAACTCTAAGAGTTGGGATGTACTCCCTAAGCAACTCCAAAGATAAATTCAAAGCCCACATTCATCTTCACAAATGACTTGAAAAATTACCGCGCAAAGGATTTTAACTCGAGAGTTGGGATTTACTCCCTAAGTCAACTCAGACGACAATATGCCAAAGCCCATGTTCAAGTTTTAGAACCTCAGCTTAAGCAGCTATTTGGACTCACAAAATTTAGCCTAACCACCTTATCTTTCATATTTATAACAGGTAGAAACACAATGTCATAGTCTCCTATGTATAATCTCCAATAAATATGCTATGGTAGGTCATCCATAAGAAGCTGATTTTCCTGACCAAACTGACAATCCAAATTTGTTTTAATCAAAACTGGCAACCCAAAACTTATTGCATTTGGGGTTTGATTTCAATCCACAAAACACAGAACCCGCTATTGCAGGAGTAGCAGCTCCAAGACTTTAATCTTCAGAAACTTTGAGGGATGCAGCCTCCACAAATCCATTTTTCAAGTTTCCTTCCATCGCTTGGTTAACACCCCATAATGCATCATGAAGACGATTTACTTTAACTTTTCAAAATCGTGGACATTTTCCAAGCAGTTTTATGCGTGGATCTCACATGTTAGTCATATGCAATTAGCATTTCATGGAATTTGAATGTCTTAACTGCACAATTAAGCTTTTCCTGCCTCTGAAAGTTGGAGATGAGGGACGACATTCATTGCTTGCAATTCCTGGAAGTTCAAACATAGAAAATTCAGGAATTGAATTTGGCATAAATAATTTTTTTTTATAATGTTAACCTAATTTTGGCATAAATACTTGAGAAGATAGGAGCCAAAGAAAGAATATAAGTCTAGACCAACACACCCACCCACCCACAGACACACACAAACACACACATTAATATATGGGTAGAATTCCTACTACAGATTAGACTGCCTAGGAGAACCAAAAAGGGAAACACAAACATTAGAAAAAGGACTGGACTTAGTACCAATTTCCCAATTATGTTATTCGGTATTTCCCAAGGAATGCCACTGGAAATGTTGTTTATAACTAAGCATGATTTGATTAAAATTAAGAAATTATTTCTGCCTATCCAACATCATAGAATGCATCAACATGAAGGGAAAGTATATTACAATACAAGGGACTATGGAAAAAACATTGGCCTTTGGGTCATCGTCATCCAATGAAATGTGTAGCAGGAAGTGGTTGGAATTATGTAGTCCAATTGGATTATAAGCTATTTAAGATAATAGTGTACTATTTCTATATTGGAAGGGGTGGGACGAACCTGGATTAGAAGCTTGCATGCATAAGGTAGTGTCAAAGTAGAGACATTATCTCCGTTCTAGCATGATGTACACCAGGCCATTTTCAATGTATGATGGTAATATCCCAACAAACCACATTTTGTGCAAACCTGTGAAAAAAATAAAGCTGGAGACCATCAACCTGCATTCACCTTAGCTATAAATAGACACAATTTACATCTTCGCATAATTACAAGGGATGCCTTTGCATAGTTTTAAAATCAGAGATTGGTGAATGCAAAAGCAGAAAACATTTAATACTAGTAACATAATGAAGATTACTTCAAAACAAAAAGATGCAGCTGAATGTTTGCTTTAATTATATATTTTACACTGTACCACAAAATTTACTCTAAGCCCTTCATAAAAGACTAACAGACCCCTTTAACTGAGTTTCCCTACCAAGGCTGCCTCCAGTTATAGAGCCACCAGGCCCTACGAAACAATACAGATGATATACAAGAAAGACTACCACCATGGGTTGGAAGCTCCCAAACTCTCAATGTTGAATTTTGAAGCCGTTATTTTGAAAATCCTAGAAGTTTCCCTAGCCATAAAAAATGACTTCAAGAGATCTAACAGAATATATGGAACTTCATAGCAGTAATCTTTTAAATAATATAAACAAAATAAGCTTGTCAAAGTGTTGGCATATATGTTTTTGAGAATGTTAACATTGTATTGAAGGATGAGCAAATACAAAGGTTGCCCCGTAGGATATGTCACCGAGAGAGGTGACTAAGACAAAACAGAAACACCCCACGCTCCAAAAAATATAAATAAGGCCCACTTAGAAGAGATACAATATAAGCGAAGAGACCCAAACAAGAGCAAGAGAGGATCCCAATGTGAATCTCCAAGTCTGCGCAGGTCACTGTCTGGCTAGCTTGCCAGCTATCTGGTTTCCCTCCTGCCAAATATGTTTCCAGGATATCCGCATATACCCACGCAGATCATGGTTTTCATAAAAAATATGCCAGTCTTCAAGAAGGTTGAGTTATGCAAGACTGAGGTATGCAAGATGCCCATTGAATAACGTTTTAGGACTCCCCTCGGCCACTAAGGAAGCTCCCCATTCCGGGTCGAAAAGTCTCAAGCCTTGTAGTAGAGCTTGGGCTTCAGCCTCTATGGAGTCAGATTTTCCTATGGAGGAGTAGGAAATAAGAGTTATTCCTTCATGGTTGCGGAATAAACCTCCTATGCTGGCCAGGACCGGGTTCTCGAAAGAGGACCCATCGAAGTTTAGTATGATAGTTCCCCTTTTAGAAGACCTCCAAGAGGCAGACCTCAGGATTCTTTTTTGTGTAAAGGAGAGGACATGGCTCCAATTGTGGTGAAAGTCGCCAGCGGGCAAGCCTTAAAGAGCTTATGATTGGTAGCCCAGAAAATCACCATTCCCAGGATAGTGTCCAATAGTTTATGTAGTGGTGCTACTAGGCCTTGGAAGATCCTGTTACTTTCCTTCCATATTGGTCGCGGCAACCGTTGCTTTCCTAAGCAGGGTGCCGGCTTTGGCCCACAGGAGGAAGGAGGAGAGTTTGAAGAGATTTGGGACAGACTCGGGGTGACCCATTCCCAACTGAAGAGAAGGAGAGAGTCTTCGAGAGTTTAGAAGGTTACGAGGTTGTGCTTTTCCTTTGTGTTGAATTGAAGCAAAGGGGAGGACTTCAATACTAGACGAGGAAAGCAAGATTGGGAGTAGATAAGGATTCAAATAAAGGGAGGGAGCTTAGCGACCGGGGAATTGAAAAAACGACTACTTTCTTGCTTGATTTAAGGTAGGGAGTTAAGTTTCGAAATAAGAGGGTTATTCCTCGAGAAGTAGAAAAAATTATAACCCCCATTCCACCTGAAATCCGAGGAATTTGTTAGTAGTTGGAATAGATTCGTAGACCGGTTCCTTACCTCGGGACCAACTTGGTTACTGGGCAGTCACAATCGTGACCGGCGTGCCTGAGGCTATCCCTGTATAGGATCGCCCCTGATAGAGTTATTATGTAGAAGTGCTAGTATGGGCCAATCTACCTTGACCTGTTACACACTTTTGTATTACCTCTTCCTAACTGCCATATAAATTGACGAATTAAGAAGAACCTAACCTACTTTTCTTGGTCACCACCGAGAACCGCTCTATATATTCTACATAGATAATTCAAGTCTTTCTAGTAGAAAGGAAAGACCACTAGAAAACAAATAAAAAACTAACTCAGGAAAAAAATGATAGAAGAGGCAACATCTTGGTCGAAGAGTCTCTATCTGCTGCAGATCAATGGGCTATAGTTCAATGGCCTCATTCTTGATCCAGGATGGTTTACCGTGTAATTAACTGGGGCAATTGATGAACCGGGACCAACCACTTCCATTGCTGAATCAACAAAGCCAACTAGCCTAGACACTGGATCAGATGCCGCAACCTTTGTTGTTGGTGCTTTGCTTTTGTCGACAGTGCTCTCATTGCTCCCTCCACTGCGGATAGTTCAACTTGGTCAATTGCATTACACCAAAAGATGCAGTCAATACAACCAGAACAACACCCGTAACCCAAGTTAATTCGTGAGGTTTCTTAAATTCGCCTATGAGATAAACACGAAATACGTGCATGATCATTATTAGAATCATCATACTTGCCAACCATTGACGACTAAATGGATTGGATTGACTAAGTTGACGTAGTAGCCAATGTTACAGTTTCTATTGCTTAGTCAGCATCTAATCAAGACACAGAGCGAGGAAACGTTTCAATCGAGTGATAGTTCTAGTCCCAGTTGGAGAAACAAATAGTCCAAGCGTAGTTCCTATTGTCAGTTCCAATCCCATTTCCAGTCCTGGATCTCGTTTGCACTATGATAGTGGATCTAACAGGGCTTGGAGCAAGGTTTTGTAGGCATATGGGTAAGCATATGTAGCATACGGGGAAAAATGCGCAGTCGTTGATCGTACGAGCGATAGGGAAGCCGACATCCCGACCAGCAGCGGAACCAGTCGGAGGCTTAAGAGAGGCATTTAAAGGCACATATTTTTAAATTGAGACTGACCTTTACAAGAGAGTGAGCTATACAACACTAGAGCTTCAGCTTGAGCTTGAGACTGAGACTGAGTTAGCTGGCATGCTTGAAAGAGTAAGGGCAGAAAGAGAGATTTTCTGATCTACTGCTTGAGTTTGTGATAAACAAAAGCTGAACAGCTGGCATGATGACTTGGAGCTTGAGACAGAGTCTGAGCTTGAGCCTTGATCGGGAGTAGGGGTTACGGGGAAAGGAGAGCGATGGGGTAGTGGATTATGAGGTGAACGATAGTTTCCTCAGCAAAGCAACACATTACACATTTATTGGGGGTTTGGAGGCCATGTCATTGTAACTGATCTAGGATGAGGATTCTACCCCATAAGGCCAGCTAGTTAAAGAACTGGATTCTAGGAGGGATGAAGGGATTCCAGGCCCTAGAAACAAGAGGGTTGCTAAGGAGGTGCCTGAGGGGTCGGGTTGCGCTACGTTTAGGAAAAGAAACAGAGAAGAGACAAAGATGGACCCATAAGGTTCTAGAGACCAGGTGAGTTTGTCAGGCCTCGAGAGAGGTAGATGGGCAGAGGAGATAAGTGAGGAAGTTATAAGAACTCTGCAAGCTCTAATAAGAACTCTGCAAGCTCCCCATCTCTAAGGGATCTACGAAGGTCAGGGTTCCAAGATCTGAATGAGCCTGAGGCAGGAAAGAGGTCCCTCCTCTAGGAAAGAACCTGATGTGGGCAAGAAAAAGCTCGAGAGAGTGTGAAATAGACCTCCAGAATCTCGAGGCAAGACTGAGTTGGGCTTGGAGAACGGACCAGGGTGAGGCCGCGAGAGAATACTTGGCTCAGAGGATGATGTGGCAGAGGTTATTGGGCTGAGTGGCGAGTCTCCACCACCATTGCATAGAGTTCCAAGTTTTGGGATTTGAGGCTACGAGTCCCCAGACTTCCTTTGTATCACTGAAGGCAAGGTAAATTCCAAGCAATAAGGTGAAATTTTGTAATGGAGTCGTCTCCCGACCTCAAAACGTTTCACATGAGTTGCTCCATTGGTTATGCACAGCCGCACGAATATGGAAAAGGGGCCTCTGAAAGATGGGTACTCCCGAGAGCACTGCTTTGATGAATGTGAGTCTATCCGCTGGTGAAAGAAAACGCCCTTTCTAGAAGGCGAGCTTCCTTTCCACCCGATCAATGATATGGCTCCATTGAGCCTTCTTGGGTTTCCTCTAACATAGCGGCAGACCCAGGTAGGTGGCCAGTAGGGAATTGACTCCACAACCCAAAATAGAGGCAAAGGGGGCGGGGTTGGTCAGGAAACCTATCATCTTGGTCTTTTGAAGTTTGACCTTAAAACTTGTTGCAAAGTGAATAGGAAGGTGAGAAGATTGTGAACCTAGTGGGGCGCAAGTTCGCATGATAGAAGGGTGTTGTTAGCATATTGTACGTGTGACACTTAAAAGCCCTCCCTTCCTACCTGAAAACCTTTGGACAATCCCACCTGATAGGGTCTGACCATTGACCTACTAAAAACCTCTACAGCTATAGCAAAGAGAAAGGGGAAGACAACGTCTCCTTGATGCAGACCTCTTTCGGATTGAATGAATCCTTTGGGGGAACCAGTGATGAGAAATGAAAAGAAGTGGCCACGAATAACATACCCTGATCCATTTCCTCCATCATCCCCCAAAGCCCATTCTTCTTTTGGTTTCTTCCAAGACGCCCCAGTCGTCATGGTCATAGGCCTTTTCCTAGTCTAATTTGACAATCAGAATAAGGGTTTTGGAAGGCGTCCTCATGTGTATGCATTCGTGGGCCACCAGGGCTCCATCGAGGATCTACCTATCTTTAATGAAGGTGCTTTGGTTAGGAGAAATAACCGAACTGAGCACCGATTTCAGTTGGGAAGCCAAGACCTTTGACAAGATCTTATAGGAGCAATTAATGAGGCTGATAGGCCTAAAATCTTTCAGCTCCACTGCCCCCTTCACTTTAGGGATAAGGGCGATGATTTCAGCTCCACTGCCCCGTTCACTTTAGGGATAAGGGCGATGAATGTGGCATTCATCCCCTATGGATGGTGCACCACTCAAAAAATTCAGCAAAGAAAGCAAGAACATCAAGGCGTACGAATGTTCCAGTGGCGAGCAAAGAAGGCCTGGACCTCTATCTTGGCCGAGTTCCTTGATCGTACCCAAGATATCTTTTTGGTGAAGGGTCTCTCAAGCCACCTGGTTTGGTCAGGATGGATGGTGAGGAATGACAGATCCGCCATCTGGGGTTTGGAAAGAGAGGGGGTTGTGAACAACTGAATGGGGTACTGGATGATAGTTTCTTGATAGCTAAAGGCCCCTCAAGGGTCGCCCCAAGATTCGATGCACATGATAGCATTGCTCCTCCTCCGGCAGTTGTTGATTTTATGAAAGTAGGATGTGCTGATCAAACTCCTGGATGGAATCCAAGAGAGTGGTTTCGAGATCTCGAAAATTTCCAGGAACAAGAGAGTGTCAAGCTTTGAGAGACCCTTTGAGATGAGAAAGTTTATTCTGTAGTCTGAAGCCTGCCCATCCAAGGGCTAGGGGAGAGTACGAGGCCCCCTAGGATTTTAGATCTTCACCGAAATTGGGTTCCTCAATCCAATAGATTTCAAAGCAAAAAGGTTTCGAGCACCCCTGAATCGGATAAGTGTCCAACAAGATGGGTTTATAGTCAGACATCGTTCTAGGTCAAGAGGACGAGGAGGTGCCAGGAAATGTGTCCTCACACTGCAAAGAACAGAGGAATCGATCAATTTGGGATCGAGAAACAGAGTTGGACCATGTGAACTCAAACCCTAACAATGGTATACCCACCAACTCATGTTTGACAATGAAGTCAGCAAAGGCTAGCATCATCAGAGTAATGACTGTGAAGGAGTTGCATTCGTGGGACCACGTTGTGACATTAAAATCTCCCCTGATCCCCCAGCATGTAGAATGAGGTCTAATTCTTGCCACATGATCGATTAGTTGGAGCTAGAGTTTGGACCATAGACTGTTGAGAACTTCCAGCAGAGCCGTCTGAGATGCCATAGAGAGACATCGTCACCAACCGCGTTGCAATCCAAGAATCCTCGAGCCCAAACGTGAATGGGTCCCAGACCAGCTTCTAGAGGTGGTGGAAGCATCAGGGTTTGCCGCAAGCGAGCAAAGCTGGAAAGAACTAGGCCGGTCGTAATTTATGTTACAAGCAAGTTTGGCAAGTTCCTTAGAGTTTATGTTACTCACTTTGAATTTGGAATGAGCATCTAATTTGAAGAAAGCCCCGATGTCCTCCTTAGAACCATTGAACTTGAATCCAATCACTCCTATCACCTTGTCAATGCTACCTTGGGCATTATCCATCCTGGAGCAGAAGACCCCAACAAAAGTGGTGGAGAGGGACGAAAAAATGAGCTGCTGAAGTTCAAAGAAGATAGGGCCCCGAGGGGAAGAGAGGGGGCGAGGAGGGGTCGGGGCAAGAGAGGGAGGATGAGTCGGAGAAGACTTCGGAACAGGAGGTCGAGCAACGATGGCAGGAAGAGAAGCCAAGGGAGCAATCGAACAGGCCAAAAGAGGAGTGGAGGAAGGGGGAGATCTAGGGAGGGAAGCCGAGGGAGCGGATGAACAAGGAAGGTTAGAGGGGGAAGGAATAGGCACTAGAGGAGGTGGGTTGAAAAAATTAAATAGAGCAAGGTAAGTCTCAAAAGGCTGCAGTCCCAAAAGGAGAGGGTGGGGAGAAACCAAGCAAGAGGGATGGAATGAAGCGGGGCAAAGGAGGATGAGAAAGAGTGCACTACGGCCATAGCATGGGCTGAGAAGGTTAGGGGGTGAGGTGAGCAAGAGAAAAGCAGCACCAGAGGAGGGAGCCAGAGGAAGGGTGGCTGAGGTAAAGGGCCCGTAGAGGTTCTCTGAGAGGGAGGGGGAGGAGAGAGGAAGAGTCGTTGAAGGGGATGGGCAAACGAAATCGCCGTACTCTCCCTGAGCAGGGTCAGCTTCGATGGGGTATAGAGGAAGGGGAAGAGGGAGAAAGAGGAAGGGGAAGAGGGAGATAGACTCTTGAAGGTAACAAAAGGAGGGGAGGGGAGAGCATCCACCATAGGGGAGAGCTTGGATAGGATAGGGAACAGTGCCTGGTCAGGCAGGAGAGAAGGCCGAGAAGGTAATGGAGACGGGTAGAGATGGGAGAGGAAGTCATGATGAGGTGAAAGGGGGGACGAGAACGTGCCATGAGAGAATGGCGGCAGAAGGAGGAGAGAAAACAAGATAGGATGGGGAAGGAGCGAGAGGGGAAAGCGACAGTACATCCAAGGGAAGGGGGAGATAAGAAGGGGACAAAGGAGAAGCCCGTCGGGCAAAGGTTCACAGTCAACGTCTGCAACGAGATCCGATTACCAGGGAAAAGGGCCTGAAGAAGGTTTCAATTGCCCTATCGGCAGAGCGGGTTCAATAAAAGCTAGCAAGAGAGAGAGGGCAGGTGAGGGGACAATCGAGGAAGAACGAGTGCATGCCAAGGTAGAAAGCGGAAGGAGAGTAGGGGTAGGTGAAAAGGTAATGAGTAGGGGCAAAATGAGGGCAGCCTCGGAAAGAGAGAATACGGCAGTGGGCTCCACGGAGCTCGACGAGGATGGCATTGCGGTAGATGGCTACAGCACGGGGAGATCTAGGGAAAGACCACTCTCAGGGAGAGAGTTGGATAGGATGTCAGGGGACGAAGAGATCAACGGTGGAGAAGAGGGGCAAGGAACAGAGGCAAAAAGGTCACTGACGTCATCCCTCGACACGTGTACCAAAGGGGATGGCACTCTCGGGGCACAGACACGCGCCCTGTCACATACCGAATGACGTAGTAAGGGGAGCATGAGGGGTCGCTCTGAGAGCCAAAGGGCAGGAATCCGACACTGAAAGGGGAGCTCGTCCTGCAGATCGATGACAGTTGGGCGGTGTGGAAGGAGGAAAATGATTGGGTCGGTGAGGCCGGTTGTGAGAAGGGAATGAGTGGGGGATCTGCTTGAACTTCCGCTTAACAGTAGTCCACTTCTCCGGAGATGAGGGTGGAAGAGCGGCAGAGGCCAAGGTATTAGGGGAGGCAAGATTCCAGGTCCAGTGGAGGCGATAGAAGACTCTTGCTAAGCAACATAACAAAAGCTTAGAGAGGTTGGACAAGTCAAAGACCTCAACCAGGACAAGAACAAATCCCAGGGAGATATATTCCCCCGCTTTCCAGTTAACGGCTACCAGTTTCCCACACTTAGCACCTATGGAGGAGAAGGTTGTGGGATGCCAAGCATCCAGGAATGTTATCAACCCGAAGCCAATACTTGAAGCAGATGGAAGCGTTGACTTGGGGTGACCACTGCTTCAAGGAGAGAGAGTCCCCTTTGATGGAAAAGAGGAGAAGGATTCTTGAAGTGGAGCCTTGAGTGCTCCAACATCTCCAGGTAGGCAGGAAAAGAGAGAACCGCTTGCAATGAAGGTCAGGATCTTTCCAACATGTTTGTGCCCATTTCTCAATGCCCCGGATGTCATCACGACAGGTGTGGAAGGCACCAACTAGAGCATGCTAGGGGAAAATGGGCAAGTCTGAAGCTGGGATGGGGCTCAAAGGGAGGAAGCAGCTCTGATCAAGGCCAAAAAGGGTCCGAGACTAAAAGGTGGGGGGAGGGAGACTAAAAGCACATGGGGACAAGTAAGAGAGGGGGCCTTGGGAGGCAGCTGAGGGTTTAAGAGGTGAGCATAGTTGCGATAGGGAGGGGTTCGAGGAGAAAGCTGGAAACTTCCCTTTATCACGTGAAGGAGCCAGTACTCCATAGGCCAAAGAGGTTGTCGGGCGAGAACGAGGAAGACGAGAAGGAGGGCCGGACGAGCAAGAGTGGGAAGGACGAGCAAGAGAAAGTAATCGAGCTAGAGCAGGGAGGCGAGAAAAGGAAACGAAAACCATAGTGATCTCATGCACCACCGATTAGTGTTGGTATATATTTTATAAAATACATTCTATGGACAAGCAATTGATTTAGAACCAATACTGGGGTTTCCAAGAAATAACACATTTTCATCCTTTTGCAAAAAAACATTTGAAAAATAGCATACTCAGAAATAAGAATATGTTTTATTTCACATCAGACATTATCACATATTTCAAAGGCTCGGACTTGTCCAAAGCTCATACTTGTCTAGGGAATTAGCGGATCTCTGTGGCAAGGTTACTCGTGACATTGACAAACCTTGATGTTTTTTTTTATCTTCACAGTTTTACTAGCAAAGAGGCCAATCCACGCTGATTAGGGATTCTTAAGCCCTTGGCAAGGTTTAAAACCTTGTGAACAACAAATTGCTATTCGATTCTTCATTTAAAAGTTGGGACATGTGCAACCCCAAGAAGAGGAGGGGGGTGGGGAGGGGGAGAAACCAAAAAAAAAAAGAAACTTGAGAAAAGCCTTTCTGAGTAGGCAAGTTGAAATAATGCGAATGGAATTTCGCAGCGCGTGCACCAATTCAAATTGCCCATCTAATAGATATAGAACAATTGAAAACTCAATTATTCTAGATCAACAGGCATTTCAACTTTGACATAGAAACACCTAAACAAAAAGAGTTTCTATCCAATGTACAAGAGGATATTCTGTCTTCGGGTAGTTCAGTAGTAGGAACTGAACTTGGGACATGGTGTTGTAGTTGTCAACAACTAACCAAACAAGTCCAAACCAAATTCCTGTACAACAGCAGAAAATTAGAACTGAAGAAAGAAGGTAATATAAGGTCTCTAGGCTGCAAAAAAAAGGTATTTATTGTCTAAGTGTTCATACTATTACAGGATAATCACCAAGTAGTCATACCTGAACCTGAAACTTATCACTGGAGATCATCATGCGTTCTAGGATCATATTACTTGCACCGTAAGCTATCAAACAGTCGCGCTCCATTTCCCCTAACCTTAGTCCTGGCAAAATAAAGAATCAAACAACTCAATCACTAAGAACTGATCACTGGCGAGATATCTTGTATGTTTTCACATAAGAAGATGCAAGTATGCAATAATTCTAATGACCTCCATCCCGAGCCCGTCCTCCGTTGGTTGTCTAGTGAGCAACACCTTAGGCCCACTAGGCCGAGCATGCATCTTATCTAGGACCTATGTAAGCACAGGGAAACATTTCAAATTGAGAAGAATCTGATCAGAATAATGCCAATCATAAGCCGTATGCTAGTAAGCTTTGTGAATAACTAAAGAGAACAAAGAGAGTCTAATCTAGGTAGCAATTAGAACAATAAGGAGGTTACATTTACTAAAGAGATGGCAGTCTCATATTTGTCACACAATTGGACAATTTTGCATTTCTGATAAGCCTCTTGTAAGTGGATTTTTGTCTGAAAAACCGCTATCTCAGCCACACTACAAGAGAATAGCAACTTTAGAATGTGGGAGAACAAATATTTCTCTAATAATGAGCCAGAACGTTTTTTGTCTCATCAATAAATTGATCATGAATTGTATCGTCTGAAATCGTCTCCAAAGGAAAGTTTATGAAATTTTTAGTTGCTTGATACCATCAATGAAATCATGTAAATTAATCACCATCATCATCATCATCCAAGCCTTATTTCGATTATTTGGGGTCGGCATGTAAATTAATCACCAAGCCTCATTAAATTGAAGCCATTGTGGAAAACATTCAAGTAGTTAGTATTTGTTAAAATGAGTGGCTACACAAAACAATTCTATAAGGGTCAAGCACTAGTACAAGATCCATAGACCAACTGTCCACTTGTTACAGAAAAAACTTGCCACTACACTTCAAACACAGGAAGTAAGCATATTAACAAAAAGTACATCAACAAGATTCATCAAACTGATAGAGCAACATGTTATGACTGCGGCACTATTAAGGGGAATTGAGCATTCAGCAAAATACGGCAACAACCGAACATTAAAACTCCCTCCATCATTTCAAAAAGTGAAATCCTTGATCAGATTAGGAAGATATACGCAAAGGAGTTCATGTAGCGTTTGTTTATCAAAACAAATGCCAGTAGTCCATAAGTTTGCAACTTCTGCAAAATCTCTGATAAGAAAACCTAAATGTCAAATGACTAAAAGGAGAAGAAAATAATACTGAAACCAAAACTCAATACAAAGGTTAGATCTGATGCCACTAAAGGTCAAACCTTCATTAGAAGAAATGCCAAGATAGATCTTGGCAGAGAAGAATCCACAGTCGGATATCTAGGAATTGCAAGGGAATACCAATTTCAAGAATGACAATGTTATGCCAATATGTAGTTGCATGACTATGGCTCATGCCAAAGATGCAATCGTGGAAGGAACATGCTCCAGGCAGCAAACCGTATGTTCCTATTGTTGAGGCATGGAGGAGGGTGAGGAGTTCTTGCCCCGGAGGGGGGAGAGAAAGAGAAGTGTAGATATAATGACTTCTCATGAGGAAATGAAAATTACCCCCAAAAATCCATGTTGTAAGTCTCCCAATAGAAGTATGCCAGCTGTGCATGACTAGAACATATTATGAGGAAGAGAAGAATTAAATGAATATTTTTTGAATTATAATCCTAAGGCCCAACATAGTAGTAAAATATCTGTTACTCTCAATGGCTGGAATTATATATATGTAAGATTTTGATCCTGCGGTGTAGAGGACACTAAGATTGCAAAAAAACAAACATAATAAAGTAATACATGCATAATCAGCTAATAGTCTGGGTTGAAATCCAAAACTGAATCCTTGAAGTATAAGTGAAAATCCGGAGCCAAATGAAGTTCGGGTTAATTTCCCGAAACCACATTGAGGTTGAACTAGGTTATTTGCCATATGTCAAAAGCATTTTAAGGCATCATAATTTATAAATCAAATTTAAGTATATTAGCAAAATCTTGAAATATGTGTATGAATCTCAATTGCATATATGGAAATTACATTAACTGTAAAGGTAATAATGCTCATTTCAACAAAAGTCACTGCTAATGCTCATTTAAACAAAAGCGCTGCATACATACCATGTGTTTAAGTTTCTGGTAATAAATTGGCCCCATGAATATATATGCTCGCAACGGATACCCAGTTATGCCTGATAAATTAAACATTATAGGTTGCATACTATTTTATATAGAGGAAATTCAACAATAACATGAAGGCAATAGATAAAAAAAAAAAACAAGAACCTGAATAGATCACATCTTTCCTGCTCTAACTAAATCCATGCATGACAAGGGTCTCACTGCCCGAGAGCACAAAAATATAATAAATATAGTAAGGAATACAAAAGTTGTTATAGAAAATATTATGATATATGAGAAGGATACAGGTCTATCATCTTAATGAAATCCACCACATGAACTTCCAAGTAGCTCTATCATCTTCCCTATTGTCATTCGACTAACCCACACAAAAGAAATTTTAGTCCAGCATACAAACTTAAGATTAAAGAGTCAGATGTTTCTAACCATCTTTATTGCCTCAAGCTAATGGGCTCTACTTTGCCGCATACAGATAAATAGTTCTTTGCCTCAAACCATGAGTTGCAGGCTCAAATCCAGCAGGCATTCGAAAGAAGAAATAAGAAGTCTACATTTCTTTAATTACACAAATTAATTCCATAAGCAACAAAAAATCTAGGGAGCCTGAATTCACAAAAGACTTCATAACCTCAAATAAAAATGAAAGATGTTATCACCTCAGCATTATAGGCTCCATCAATTCACTGCAAATGGATTGATGAAAAAAAATAAAACGGTAATAGGGCTATCAAATCATGTAGCTCAGAAAATTGAGCCTGAGTATTGCATGCACCAAGAATGTGTTGTTTTACTTTGTGAAATAGCCACTGAAAAATGAATAAAATGCTAGAAGAAATGAAGAATATCATTTATCTGGCTCTTTTTTCATGTTCTCTTTTTAAAAAAAAATACTACGTCAGCCTAGAATATCATATGTCTGATTCAAAGTACTGATTTTTTTATTTTTTTATTTATTTTTACTTGCACTTGAATATTCACCAGTCTATTGTTCTTGTTCTTCACAAATTCTTTCTAAAATAGTTCATAGTTCCTCCATCTGACCATTTTCATAGGTCGTTATAATTTATGTTACCTGTGATTTTATAAGCTTGTTCTTTTTGCTTTGAGGAATACCTCACTCTAGACATGATCAAGGGAAAAAAACTTTTTGAAGATATATTTTTTAAAATTCCTTTTTTATTTTTATATTCTTCTATGTGTATATAATTTCTTGCTTTTGTCTTTTTCATGACCTGATTAGTCAACCCAAATGGGTCATGTTCAATTCGACCTAGGAATCATCCTGAGTTGGATTTTAGGCTTGTACATTGTGAGGATATTTTAACCAATTACCAACCTGTACAATTTCTTTCGATGTTACAGCTAACACTTATTTTCTATTTTTTTCAATAAAATCCAATCCATGGTGCAATCTCTCAAAAATTCAATTAGCTTAACTAGCATTGCTTGTATTCTTGCTGAAGTTCACCACAAACCACATCGAAGTTGAATGCTACTTTGCCTTCCATCCCATGCCTCTTCAGATCTTCAATTTCACATATTTTTAAAGCAACAATAACAAGAGTATCTGATGGTAAGGCTAAACTTAAGGCATGGTATAATCTATATAATAAACTGAAAACAAGAAAAGGTAAAAAAGATGTCATCAAATTAGCAAAAATGAGAGAGAAAAAGTGCATGGATTTAGACCATATTAAATGCATTAAGACTGATGATCAATGTGTTTTGGTGAAGGATGAAGAGGTAAACAAAAGGCGAAGAGTTCATTTCAAAAATTATTAAGCGACGAAAACAGTGGAAACACAATAGTAGAAGGAATTGTTGGCACACTTGAGGGTGGAGGTCGAATATCAAAGGTGAAAGAAGTCTCGAAAAAGATGAAGATAGGAAAGGCTTTAGGACCAGATGGTATCCGAAAGAGGTTTAGAAGTGCATGGGGGACATTGACATTGACTAGCTCACCAAGTTGATCAACAAAGTGTTGAGAACAAAAAAAATGCTAGACAAATAGAGGAAAAGCATTGTGAAACATATTTATAAGAATAAAGGAGACATACAGAGTTGTACAATCTATCGAGGGATCAAACTTATAAGCCACACTATAACATTGTGGGAGAGAGTGTCGAGCAAAAAGTAAGGCATGAAACATATGTATCAGAAAACCAATTCGATTTTATGCCAGGGAAGTCAACAATTGATACTATTTTCCTACTAAGGCAACTTATTGAGAAGTTTAGGGTAAAGGGAAAGACCTCTACAAGGTCTTTATTGATCTAGAAAAAGTTTATGATAGAGTACCTTGAGATTTATTTGGTGGATTTTAAAAAAGGAGTCTCAAGATACTGTATCGACTTAGTGAGAGATCTATACGAGGGAGCGCTAACTAGTGTGTAGATAACTAGGGAGAGATGAGTGAATTTTCAATGACAATAAATATACATTAGGGGTTAGCTTGAGCCCATACCTCTTTGTCTTAGTTATGGACGACTTAATTAGACACCTACAAGATGAGGTCTGTTGTGTATGTTGTCTGTAGACAATAGAGCTTTGATCGAGGCCTGCAGTGGCATCGACACAAAGTTAAAACTTTGGAGGGATGCTCTAGATCTAAAGGTTTTTAAATTAGCCGGATTAAGATAGAGGGTATAGAATGCCAGCTTAGTAATAATATGAGCCTAGATGAGAAAGCAATTTAGTTTGACGGCTAAGAAATACAAAAAGGAGAGCAATTTTGATATCTTGGGTTTATAATCCAGGAAAATAGAGAGATTGAGTACGATGTTGCATATAGAATTAGAACTGAGTGGGTAAAGCATATATATTAAATTAGAGTTTATGTGATCACCGTATACCATTGAAGCTGAAGGGGAAGTTCTATAGGATAACTGTGAGACCAACTTTGTTTTATGAGGCAGAATGTTGGGCGATCAAGGGATAGAAGTCGAAATGATGTTGGGATAATGAATGTAGATGAGATGAGAATGTTGAGATTGATGAGTGGCAAGACGACAAAGGATAGAATTTGAAATGAATACATTAGGGAGAACCTAGATGTGGCTCCAATAGGCAATAAGATGAGAGAAAATAGATTTAGGTGGGCTGACCATGTGCAACATAGACCCAGTACAGAACTTGTTAGGAGGTGCAAGTTAGTTCAAGTTGAAGATTCAAAAATGGCAAGAGGTAGGCCAAAAGGACATGGTTGGGAGTAGTGAGAGAAGATATGTGGATTTATTGCCTCAATGAGGGTGTGGTTTTTTATAGAGTAGAGTGGCGGAGAAGGATTCATATAAACGACCCCAAATTGTTAGAAAAGGCTCTCATGATGATGGTGAAATAGGAGTATGTGAAAAACGTTAAATTTCTTGCAAACATACAATCTTTATGTGGCATGGGTAATTCAGTTTGACAAGTAGTAAAACACCAGCAATTATAGAAAATGTTTCAGAGAACAAACAATTGAGATTTACAGCTACAAAGCAAGTGAAAAATCACATAAACATGGAATACAACCGAAAGGCTTCACAATAAATGCACCATGTTCATCTAACCACAATGATATGTTTCAAAGAGATGCAATAAAAATGGGGGCAGCAAACTACAAAGCTACATAATATAACTATCGAAAGACTATGCAAGATTTTTCAGAAAAAAACTCATTTACAAAACTAATGGAAACTATAAAGTCCTCATTAAGTAGAGAGTACCTAGGATAACCATGAAAATTCATAATCAAGTTGGGGAAAATCCCACGTTCAGAAAACGTAAAGTCTTCTTGCTGTATGATGGTACCACAAGCACCTTTCTGCCCGTGCCTGCTACTGAATTTGTCACCCAACTAATAGCCAATAATGAGAATGCGTATTAGTTTTGTAAAGTTTGGAAACATTTAACTGGTTTCCATGTAATCAAAGCTAAAACTAAATTTCGCTAAGGTACTGTATTTGGAGCTTACCTCGGGCCCGCGGGTATGACAAAAGAGAATTTTGATGCATAAGTTTTCGTTGTTATCTGACATTAGTAACACCTTATCAACAACAGATGTTTCCCCTTTTGGACGTTTGTAGGTTACAGGTGTGTTCTTATATTGACTGCAATTCAGAAGCCACATCATTTAGTTCACATGGAAACATACGTAATAAAGAGATTCCATCATAAGTTAAAATGGAAACCAAAGCAAAAACATCATATACATGATATTTATACTCAGACAGGACATCCACTATACATCTAAAAGACAAATAGTGGAAATGAACAGTAGTTCCTCCAGAATGCTTTTCACATCCATACTAGAGTCGATCCCCAATCTCCGTCTGGAAACAGAGGGTTGACGCCTGCCTCTGTATTTGCACATAATTATGCACGTTATTCTTCACGAATTAATTTAACTTGGTTAAGTAAATTCACCTG